AATCATCATTTTAAAGAAACCACTTTGAGACAAAGGACTCACTACAAATTTTTATTAACAAATTACTTGTGTGTGCAAAAGGTAAATTAAAGGGGTGTTTTACATAAAAGGTTAAAAGCACTTGGCATGCAGATGATGGATTAAACATAAAAGGCCCTTTGCATAAATATACTAAGAATCCATACTTTTCTCACTGGGAGTATGTTATGGTTCAACTAGTAATTACTATTACTCACATAAAGTTAGCTTCAGGAAATTTGAGAAGAAGTCACAATGTACATGACCCCCCTTCTACAGAAAGCTTGTCACCAAAAAAGAAATATAATGTGATCCACTAACATCTCTAAGTACCTTTCCCTTTTTATAGAATTTCCACTGGAATCTTATTTTGGTTTCAAGGATCAAAAGCAGACTGGGCAAGGAAAAAATGTTAACTTCTTCACTCTAAAATGGTGCCTACAAAGTCACTGTGAGCTCTGGTGGCCTAGTGGCAAGAAGCTGCACTGCAACTCCAAAGGCAAACGGTTCAAGGGCACCAGCTGTTTCACAGAAGGATGGATTGATTCTAATTAGACAGTACACAACAACAACAGTCACTATACCAAAAACAACTGGATGACACACAAGAATGTCATGAAAACAGCACATGAACAGGGGGCAATGGTGATAAAGGAAGTTCAAGCTGCTCTTAAGGGAACTGGCAAAAAAACAAATCCCCAGGAATTGATGAAATACCAATTCATGTATTTCAACAAACAGATACTGCACAGGCAAGTGCTCACCAGACTGTGTCAAGCAATCTGGAAGACAGCTACCTTGCCAACTGACTGAAAGAGATCCGTATTCATCCCCATACTAAAAAAAAAAAAAAAAGTGATCCAACAGAGTGTGGAAATGATCAAACAGAATCACTAGTATCACGTGCAAGCAAAATCCTGAAGATTATCCAGAAACGACTGGAAAAGTGCATTGACAGAGAATTACCAGAAATACAAACTGGGTTTAGAAGAGGTTGTGGCACTAGGGACATCATAGTCAAAGTCAAATGGATCCTGGCTGAGAGCAAAAGAATACTAGAAGAATGCCTATTTGTGCTTCATTGACATATGACTGTGTGGATCACAACGAACCGCAGTTAAGCTTGAGAAGAGATTTCCAGAATACCCGATTGTGCTCCTGAGTAACCTATACTTAGTCCTCTGAACAGTGCAAGGAACATTGTATGGTTCAAAATGGAGGAAAAAAAAAAAGAGTATATCAGGGATGTGTCTTGTTTCCATACCTAGGGAGAATAGCCATTCAGGAATGTGGAATCAGATTTGGAGGAAGAGTCATCAACAACCTACATTATACAGATGACATAATCTTGCTTGCCAAAAATGAGGAGGGCATGAATCGTTTGCTGCAGAAGAAAGTAAAGCACTGTAGTTTTCAATATAGATTGAAGCTCAACATCAAGAAAACAAAAGATTCTCACCACTGACCAAATGGCAGCACCATGATAGATGGAGAAGAGAGTGAAATTATTAACAACTTCCACTTGCTTGGTCCCAGATTCTACACTCGTGGCACCAGTACTAATAAAACAAACTGCACTGGGAAAATCTGCTGTCAAAAAACTTTACAGAGTGCTGAAGAGCAATGATGGCAGTTTGGAGAAAACTAAGGAGCACCTGATCCAGCCCATGGTCTTTGCAATTCCTTGATGTCTCTGAGTTGTGGTGCTGCAAGAAGAGTATTGACCATTCCAGTGACAGCCAAGAGAGGAAACAGGTTTGTCCTAGAGAGGGTGAAATCAAGCTGCCCCTTAGAGGTGAGAGTTTCGAAGCTCTATCTCACCTTACTTAAGGCATGCTGCCATGAGGGACCAGTCCTTGGAAAAGGATATCATGCTTGGAAGGGTGGAGGGACACAGTGCAAGTGGGGAAGACCATAAATGAGATGGACTGACACAGGAACTAGATTAAAGGGGTTAGGTGTGTCAGAGACAGGAACTAGATTAAAGGGGTTAGGTGTGTCAGAGACAGTGAGACTGTATCTGGGGTTCAAGAGCTATTGTGCAGAGAGTTGCTCTAAGTTGCAGGTGACTTGCTGGCACATAACAACTGGCATATGGTCCTATAGTTTTATAAAATGCACTCTCTCTTCATTTCTCTTCTAATGTCATGACTGAAAATGGTTATACTAAATGGTATAGAATTCAACAAAACCATGCACTGACAACAGCTCTGCTCCGTTTCTTCTTAGAGCTATGTACTCAACACACAGACTCCAACTCTTGCTTTAATGATAGCAATGGGACTGCAAAGAATATGAATTGTGGTTTACAAAGTTTTTATAAGACTGTGAAAGTAAATTTACCCCAAGAAGTGAATATATGTAGTTGTTAGATGCCATCAAGGTGAGTATGACTCATGCTGTTGTTATGTGCCACCGAGTCGCCTGCAACTCATTGTGACCCTACGTACAACAGCCCTAAACCCTGCTCTATCCTGTGCCAGTCTCACTGTCTCCAACACAACCACCCCCATTACTCCAGTCACAGAATCAAACTACCTCATAGAGGGCCTTCCTCTCCTGTGCTGTCCCTCCACCCTCCCAAGCATGATGTCCTTCTCCAAGGACCGGTCTCTCCTCACAACATGTCCAAAGTATGTTAGACGGAGCCTCAGAATCCTTGCCTCCAAGGAGCCACCCGGTTTAACCCTTTCCAGGACAAATCTGTTTGTTTTCCTAGCAGTCCATGGTATTCTCAATACTCTTCTCCAGCACTACAGCTCAAAGGCATCAATTCTCCTTCTATCCTCCTTAGTCATTGTCCAGTTCTCTGATGCACAGCAAGTGACTGCAAAGACCATGGCCTGTATCAGGCACACCTTAGTCTCCAGAGTGTCACCACTGCTCTTCAGTACTCTGGAGAGGTCTCTAACAGCAGACTTTCCCATCGCAATACATCTTTTAATTTCCTGGCTACGGGTGCCTAGAGTGTTGACTGAGGAGCCAAGCAAACTAAAGCTGTGAACAGTATCAATCTCTTCACCATCCGTCCTGATGCTGCCAACTGTGTTGAGAATCTCTGACTTCTTGATACTGAGCCTCAATCCATACTGAAGGCTGCAGCCCTTGACCCTCTGCAGCAAGTGTTTCAGGTCCTCCTCAGTTTCAGCAAGCAGGGTTGTGTCATCTGCATAACACAGACTGTTGATGAATCTTCCACCAATTCTGATGCCACACTTCTCCTCATAGAGCCCAGCCTCCAGGATAATCTGTTCTGCACACAGATTGAAAAGGTAAGGAGATAGGACACATCCCTGGCATACAACCCTTCCCAATTTTGAACCATGTAGTGTTTCCTTGCTGTGTTCTGACGACTGCCTCCTGGTCCAAGTATAGGTTTCGCATTAGCATGATCAAGTGTCCTGGGATTCCCATTCTTCTCAGAGTCAGCCACAGTTTGTTGTGATCCAAACAGTCCAATGCCTTTGGATAATCAATGAAACAGATACATTCCTCCGAAGTATGAGAGATGAAGCTTCATCATCTTTGCCTCTAAGGAGTACTGTGGCTACCCCTTCTCCAAGACATTTCTTTGTTCTTTTATCCTTATTCATTGTTCAGCTCTCAGATGCCTAGCAAATGACTGAAAAAGACTATGGCCTGAATCCAGTACATCTTAGTCCTCACACTGACATCACGGCTCCTCAATAATTTGGAGGGGTATCTGACTAGACTTTTCCAGTGCAATGCTTTTCTTGATCTCCTGACTGCTAGTACCAAGTGTTCTGACTGTAGATGCAAGTAAGATGACGTAACTCAAAGTCTCAATCTTTTGTTCACCTATCATGATATTGCCCACTGAGCCAACGGCAAAGATTTTTGTTTTATCGATGTTGAGATGTAATCCATACTGAAGGCTGCAATATATAACCAAACCAGCAAGTGCTTTAAGTCCTCCTCACTTTGAACAAGCAAGTTTGTGTCATCCTTATAATAGAAGTTACTGGTTGAAGGGTTTCCTCCAATCCTGATGCCACATTCTTCTCTAGGGTCAGCTTCTCAAATCATTAACTCAGCACACAGATTTAATAAGTATGGAGAAAAAAAAAGCTACAACCTTTTGTACACCAATGTTCATAGGAGCAATATTCACCATCGCAAGAACATGGAAACAGCCCAAATGTCCAACCACAAATGAATGGATTAAGAAATTACGGTACATTAAAAAAAAAATTATGGTGCATTCACAGAATGGAATACTATGCAGCAGACAGGAGCAATAACTTTGTAAATTATTACCTAACTTCAGAGGGACTGGATAGCATTATGCTGAGTGAACTAACTCAGTCACACAAGGATAAATATTCTGTTAAGACCTTTACTGTATAATGAGTACAAGGAACCAGGAGGGGTGGGAGAGGCTGGAAGCAGAGGGATGTGGGTGTACAGGGGAAAGAGGGGATTAATCATTGGGTTGTACAATTTGATGGGTGGGAGGATGAAGGAAATCGAAAGAATTTGTTTGAATTTGTATTAGAATTTTGTAACTAAACAAATGAAAAGAAAAAGTCAACTTGGGAAGGGGGAAAGGAGAGGGGGGTAAAATATGCAACAATGAATGAATAAAAATCTAATTTTTTGGTAAATTTTTGTTAAATGACAAAGTAAAATATTTTATTAGAAAAAAAATAGATACAACCCTAACACACACTCTTCATAATTTTAAACCATGCAGCGTTCCCTTGCTCACACAACAGGCTAGGTATAGGTTTTTCACAAATACAGTTAAGTGTTCTGGAATTTTCATTCTTCTCAATTTTAGCTATATTTGTTATGATGCAAAGTTAAATTCATACTGATATAAACTCTTATCTTACTGAAAATGTAACTTTCTAAAACCCTTAGTTTTCTAAGAAAAAATATATGAAAGCTTAACAAGAATAAAACATGTATATGTGTATTTTTATACATACACACATATAGCTGTGAAAGAAAAGACTCACGTCACACCAGGATGAAGATTATACTTCTTTTTTCCAAATCGTGTTTGCTGAGCAAAGAAATCATAGCGTTCAGATTTTTTCCACATGTAATAAAATGCTACACATTCACCAACTGATCTTGTTCGGACCTATAAAAGAAGCAAGCATTTGCTTTTAAGAACATTTTTTTCCTTAAAAGAATTATTTCATGACAAACCTATTAAGATGAAGAGGAAATTTGTGTTGTTCTTAAAAGATGTTATTGTTACGTACTTTGAAGTCTACTCTAACCACAGAGACCATATGGAACAGATTAGGGTGATATCTCATAGGGTTTTGTAGGCTATAATTTTTACAGGAGCTGACTGCAAGGTCTTTTTTTCCTCTGAGCCACTACTGTGAGTTTGAATCAATTATTCTGTTAGGAGTTGAGCAGTTAGCCAAGAAGGCCATCTGGGTTCCTTATATACATAAGACAATGTATAAAATGCAAGACTGTAGCAGTTGTGTTGAAAGTTATTCTTTCTAAACTGTCTTACAAGAAATTGTACAATGCCAACAATGACCTTAGATAGTTAGCATTGTACTTTTTAAAAGGTGATTATCCGTTTCTACTCATCTATTGACATTTAAGTGAAAATTAATATTATAAACATTTCAGAAATACTTATAAAGTACCTACAATTCTTCAAAATCCCTTTCAAGCCTCTTAATTAGTCCTAGCAGTAATCCAGACTCCTTTTTTAATTTACTCTCAAGAGAACTATGATTATTTCATAATGAGTTAAAAGCTATTATAATAATGCTAACAATCTGTTCTACCATTCTGCCAGTGAACCATACTGTGGTGGTTTAGATACTGTTTTGACACTAGAAGCTATGCTGTTGGAATCTCACACCAGCAGGGAAACACATCATAGAGTTCAGTGGAGCTTCCAGATTAAGCCAGACCATGAAGCAGAAATGGCCATCCATTTCTGAAGTAATAAATCCTTGAATGCTCTACAAACAGCAGAGGAACACTGATACAGGGCTGGAAAAGGATCTCAACATGTTGGAAGACATTAACATGCAACTAGAGAATAGCTGCCTACTCAAAGTAGTGTCTCCCTAAATGACACAAATGGAGTAAAGCTTTCATTCAATGAAGAACTTTTATTTGCTGATGTGACAAGAATAAAAATGAGAATACCAATACAGATTAAACAAAAAAATTTATGCAAGGAAGACTTGTTAATAAAGCTACTGTTTAAATGTATGTACCAACTACCAAAGCTAAAGAAGCAGACAAATATTTAAATCAACCTATACAGTCTGAACCATGAAATCACAGATGTCATTGTAAAGACTGAGGTGCCTCTGGTACAAGCCATGGTATTTTCAGTTGCTTCAAATTTTTCAAAAATTTTCAATTGCTAAAAGTTGAGTAATTAATAAAAATTATATAAGAAAAAAATGAGAATACCAGCAAATATCCAGTAATATGTGGAAAACAGAATGTAAGAATCTAGAAAAATTACAAGTTCTAAAAAAGGAAATGGAATCCACAAAGATCAGGATCTTAGATATTAGTGAGCTGAGGTCACATAATCTACTTATTACAAATGGAAGAGAAAAGGTATTTGACTCATCATAAAAAAAAAGGATTATGTCAAGATCTATCCAGAAGCACAATA